ATCAAATACATAAAAAACTGGTCAATTCAATTGATTTTTAATTTTAAAAAAAGTTTATTTAAGGGCGAGGCCCTTAAACAATCAAATTAAAGTGCACATCAAAAATTCACTAGAAGAGGTTGTTTCGATGCCCCTAAAATCTTCAAATCGATCATCTCTACCTCAAGATGTATAGATGTGAGAAAAAATAGATTTCAAGTCTGAAAAATAGTACATCTTGTAATGCATTTTGCAGACCTTTAATTTTCAAGATTTTCAAGATTTTCAAGTGCTCATAGATATGCTCGATCAACACTATTCTTGGGGCTTTAAATTTTATAATTAGAGATGAAAATAAATTTTCAGGCCATCACAATTATTTTTAGTACTAAAATAATATCTTTCGACGCTATTTGAAGGTGCGCCTTACTTTGATTGTTTAGGGCTTCAGCCTCATACAAACCACACCCATTAATTAAACTCAATTTTTACTTTGGATCAAATTAATTAAAGCTCAAATAACCAAGTGGACTAGACTATCCATTTAATCCCAACAACTTTTCAAATTCTTGGGATCTTTGCTCTACTCTCTCTCTCCCTCCTACCCATTGGGTGCATAATAATTATCTCCTAAAGGAAACTAAACCCTTAAATGATAATTAGGAGAAGTGAATTCAATTATCAACAAAATCATTATTTTGTTATAAGTTTAACAAAAAATCATCAATAAAATCTTCTATGGTTAGAATGGTTGATTAGGATTTGTGTACCTAATTTCAATTAACTAGAAAAAAACTTTAATGAAGATGTTGATCAACCAAATCATTTATGGTCATGTTACAAGAAAGGAATTCTTTATTTAGTCCATAGGACCACATTACTGTACATATGTGCAAATAAATGTCCTCCTTGCATTTGCACATGCTTTTAAGGTTTAAATAACGTTCATAAACGAAATAGTATGTCTTAGTCTGGCTAAGCTAATTACATTGAAGAGAGATATTATCAGGCAACAAGGTTTAAATAACGTTCATAAATGGAATAGAACATGTCCGTTTCGTATCAAGGTAACGACCGTTAGAAAGGAAAAAGTCGCTTTGTTATAATGGAAAAATGAATGTAATGTGATATCCAATTATTTTAAGGGATTGTATACTATGAGACCATTTATTTTTGGTACAATGAGATCACAATTGGTAGTAGCTATTAGATGTAAAATTGGATGGCTTGGCGTGTGTCAAAAATTTCGAGAATTTTTTTTTGAGCTAGGAGTTTAGCCAATGATGCACTCACAACCATCCGATTTGAAATTTGATGGATACAAGTGATTATGATCCCCCTCTATAAAGAGTAAATGGTCTATTTGTATATTTTTTTTTTTTTAAAGGGGGTGAGCATATTGTCCATTTACTCCTCTGGGCAGAAACCCAACTTTGGAAGATTTTTTAATCTAAATTTTAGGAACTGCTTGAGAATCACTAGATTTTTATTTTCAAGAAGAGAAAATTCAAATTGTAAGTTTCCTGACACTTATATCTCGCACTCAAAAATTTGGAAGGTGTTGGTCCAATCTTGAAATATTATTTTTTTGAGTTCATAGAGAGTATGATTTGAATTTTTTTTTTGGGAACAAATAAAATATCAAATGAATGGCGGAATTGTGATGCTAATTTATATGAACAAATGAGACATACAAAGTTGTACGAAGTATCGAGGTATCAAACTTTATAAGCCACACTATGAAATCATGGGAGAAAGTGATCTAGGAAATGAAACAACCGTATCATCAATTGGAATTTATACTGGGCAGTTAACCATTGGGACTATTTGGCTTCTTAGACAATTGGTTGAGAGCATACTATAGGGTAACTAGAGAAACAATTTAATGGGTGCTAAAAAATAATGGAGTCTCAAGAGGATATATTGATATAGTTAGAAATATATATGAGGGAGTGTTAACTAATGCAAAGACAACTAGTGGCGATACAAGTGAATTTTCAATGATAGTAAGTCTACATCAGGGGTCAGCTTTGAGCCTACATCAATTTACCTTGGTTGTGAATGAACTAACTTATGGTGATGTTATGTATAGATAATATAGTTTTGATTGATGAGACTAGAGATGGCGTAAATGTAAAGTTCGAACTTTGGAAAGATACTATGGAATCAAAATGTTTTAAAATTAGCCAGACTAAGACATAATATATAGAGTGCTAGTTTAGTAATAACAGAAGTAAAAATGCCGAATCTATAAGATTGATGGCCAATAAGTACTTAAAAGAGATTATTTTTGATATCTTAGGTTGATAATCCATGGAAAAAAAGATACTAAAGAAGATGTTGCTCATAGAATTAGAGTTGAGTGGACGAACTGAAGATATGCTTCTGGAGTCCTATGTGATCGTTGGATACCAATGAAACTGAAGAGAAAGTTCTATAGGACAGTTGTAAGACCAGCCATGCTTTATAGGATGGAATGTTGGGTGGTCATAAAACAACATATCCTTAGAATGTGTGTAGCTGATGTGACATGTTGATCTAAATGAGTGGCAAGACTACAAATGCTAGAATTCACAATGAATATATTCAATGAAACTTTAGGGTAGTTTCAATAGGCGATAAAATGAAGGAAAGTAGACTTAAGTGGTCTAATCATGTGCATCATCAAGTTAGAATAACACCAGTAAGGAGAGGTGATTTGATTCAAGTGGACGGTCCTAAAAAGGCAAGAGGAAGGCCTCAAAAGATATGGATGGAAACAGTAAGAAAAGTTATATAGTGACTTATGTTCTACTTGAGCATATGACCCTTGATAGATTGGAATGGATGAATATAATTCATAGACCCACTCCAAATAGTTCTCAGATGATGATGAGGTTCGTCTATAGGTTGGCAAAGTTACATCCCCACAATTTAGTATTCCAAAATTACTTGTACATTAGATATTACCTGAGGGTGTAGATGGGACAATATGCTCCTGCTAGAGCATGAAATATGTTGGCTATTTTAAAAGGGTGTGATTTGTATAGAGCATAGACTCTAAACAATCAAATTAGAGCCTACCTTCAAGTAGTGTCGAGAAATGTGGTTTCAATTCTAAGAATCGTTGTGATAGCTTTAAAATGTATTTTCATCTTTATTTATAAAGTTTAAAGCTTCAAAAATAGTGTAGATCGACAGATCTATGAAATCTTGAAAATTGATGGTCAAAAAATGCGTTAGAAAATGCATTATTTCCAAAACTTGAAATCTATTTTTTTCTCATATTCATGCATCTTGATGATGAGATGATCAATTTGAGGATGTTTGGGCATCAAAACAACCGCTTCTAGTGAAATTTTTTGGGTAGGCTCTAATTTGATTGTTTAGAGCATCGGCTCTATATACACTTTTCCCTTTTAAAAAGAATTATTTTGAAAAGGTCTACTATTGGAAAAAATAAGGGGCATCATTTCTTTTATGGAACTAAGAGAGGTTTACCCCCAAGGTATAGCTTCCTTTACCCCTCACCCACCCCTCCCCTCCCCTCCCTTCCCCTCCTGAAACTTTGTTTTTTCTCTTTTTTTTGTTTTTTTCTAAAAAATACTCCACTTCAAGCAAAGGTGGAGATTCGTTAAGTTGTTGTGAATCCCTCACAAGAAAATTTTTTTTTTCCCTTTTTAATAGCATTTTTTGGTTCTTCATGTTATTATTCTAGGTTTGCATACATCTCCATTGATCTTAGTAAAATGTCCTTTAGATGCATATGGTTCCAAGTTAATGTTAGATAACAAAGATTTTGGTTATAATTTCACTTGCGATGGTCCAGGAAGAGACGGTACTTGTGATATTTTGGCTTGGGATGCATTTTATTTGGAGTTTTTCTCTATGGTTTTCTAGTTAGTTGGAAGTTTCCTATCTAATTGGGTTTCCTAATAACTAATTTTGGGTGGTCCTATTTGGTTAGGAGGTATGTGAGTCACATAATAAAAGATAGAGTTAGGAGTCCAAAAAGATTGGGGACATAAGGGAAACCTTGGGTGTAGAGAGAGAAAATTGTTGAAAGAGGGGCTTTGTGACAAACCATGTATGACAAACCATGTAAAATCTTTATGTTCTTGTTGCATTATTTCTTCCTTGCTTATTCTTGGCTTGTTGTTGATTGTTTTTTTCTCGTTCTTTATTTGCTAAACATTCACATCATTGCTCTCGTTTATTTACTCTTTTTTTTTGCCCAACATTTTAAGTTTTGTCATCAGATGGTCTGAGACTTCTAATCTTTCATTTCAAATAAAACATAATCAAATCCAAGATATCCACCTAAAAGCTTTATATGTAGCTAAAAAACTTAAAATGTTGGGCAAAATGCACACTTACGAAGCTCAAGGTTAATTTATTTGATCTATTAGTATTTGTACATTGTCTGGACGAAGTAACATGTCACTGACAACTTCTCATTTCGAAAGCAATCACGTATTTTAAAGAGAGAGAGTCATCAAACTTTTAACTTTTATACAGTTCAGATGTTAGAAGAAGAAACTAACATGGTTGGAAGCAGTGAAAAAAGATATGGAGACTTATACCCTCATTGAGAGTATGATATTTAATAGAGCAGAATGGTAGGTCGAAATTCATGTAACCGACTCCAATTAGTTGGAACAGACTTTGACGATGACGATCTTGAAAGAAACTACATTGAACCATAATCATCTGGATTTTCAGATTACAAAATAAATGTAGTGCTTTTGCTTGGGTTATGGATTGGTGATCGACATAAGGGTTTGGGTGTGAGAGGTCAAAGGTTCAAACCTTTGAAGCTTGTCCCCGTAGAGCCCATACAAATAGCCCCAAAAAAAGATTGCATAAATAAATTGCCGATTCACAAAGATTGCATAAATACATTGCCGATTCAAGCTGCATTATTGCTAACAACCTTAGTACGTCTCTCAAGCCATCCTAAGTTTCGGCGAGAGAGAGAGAGAGAGATACTGGCTATAAATTTGAACGTGGAATTACATTGTATAATGCACTCAAAATCAATTTGATACTTCAACCCGAATACATTGATTATACAATTGGGCATTACTTATCATAAATCTCCAAAGCAGTCGTATGCTTTTTTTCCTTTGGGGGGTGGGGAAGGGAGAGAGTAGGTTGTTTCCAAGTTTATGGGAACACTGGACTGATTAGTGATCAGAACAAGCTTCTGCCTCAAAATGTGGCATGTTGACAAAGGCAATAGATAAAGGAGCAATAGAAATTGGTAACTCCGCATCAACAAGAACACGATCCAAGTTGGGTATGTCTCCATAGTCTGTGAGCTCCAAAGGATTCCCATTAAGAAGCATAGTTCTGCTTTTAAGGTACCCATCTTTTGGTGTTAAATGGTACTCTTGCCTATGTAGTTGCTCATCTGAAGCTCTCTTCCCGATCCATGAAAAGCTTTTCTTGACTCTATCCACAAAAGATCGATCTCCTTTATCTGTCTTGACTTCCAATCTTATATCATCGTTCACTTCATTCTCTACCATGATATTGAATCTTGTAGAATTGCTCATATTGATCAAGAGAAGTGTAACCCCCATCTAACAGAAAAATAATTTTGGGTGAGTATGGTTTAAGGAGATCGAGAAGGAATGTGATTGAACTTAGCGACTTCTTTTTTATTTAACAATAAAATTCTGCTACTTTTTTCTCATGTGATTTATTGGGTCACAATATTTTGATGAGAGAAGAAGAAATCTGATCAACTTGACTACTTTCTTTTTAATACGACTTTAATTGCACATAAAATAGAGTACTACATATGGGAGAAGGTGGGACTGAGACTTCTTACTGTCGATTTAGAACAGTGGGCATATGTTCGTAAGTACGGTGAACCATCAAATTTAGCAGCGAGCACTCCTTTTCCCATCAGTCGATGCCACAACAATGCGCTATTAGGAAGTTCAAACAATTCAAAAGATGAAAAAACCAGTTGGGTTTCTCCCTGAAAGCATGAAAACCTTGAATCTTGATTAATAACATAGAGATAAAGTATCCACTTGCCTATAGTAGTCAGGATTCGGTTCAAAAGTTGGTCTGTCTAGGAGACCATAGTTTCCACCAATCAAACTTTGCCTGCAGTAAGCCTTTGTATGGTATATAGATGACATTCCTAGCTGATCTAAGTACCTGCATTACATCAGGACACGTTCGTTTACATTTTAGAATAAGAAAGATTGTTATCTTGCAGTGAGCAATTTAGAGAAGATTATTATCTTGCTATCAATATTGGACTGTAAGAAACACAGTTTCTCAAGAGAAGTTCAGTGTGCTGTTCTACTCCTTATGTATTTTAAAAACATGTAGATGTAACAAGATATGTAGCAAGCAGGATATCTTATTTGGAATGACCCCCCAGTCTTAGAGACTCCAGTTTCTAGGTCCTCTGTTTCCAGGTTAGTATGTCCCCCCTCTCTCTCTCTCTCTCTCTCATATATTAGTTGCCATCAGAACTTCTTCCTCCCACTTTACAGATAAGTGATGCATGGTACTTAGAAATTAGGTACGGCATCAATATCTGATACTTTGGAAATATATAGAAAATTTCAGAAAATTGATGCCTTAGCGATGTTCTTAGCAATATCCAGGCCTGCACGATGGTCTAAATAGAATTCTGAAAAATAAACTTCAAGTTATAATAGGTAACCTTTTCTCTCTGCTAGGTACTCAAGGAATAAGACAGAGAAACACTTATAATGTGCTTTTAATTTCTGGCGGTGAGTAGTCATGTTATCTTGTGCTTTCCTTAAATATATATATTTATCCATTCACTATATGCATTAGGATCAAACGAATTCCATCTTAACTACTAAAATCCAAGGGGGAAAAAATTGACTTTACCAAAAAGCACCCAAGAGATGAATTATATAACATCTCACCTATTTCTTTTGATTTACTTCCATAAATCCCATCAAAGGACACATAATCATGAGTTAGAATAGTTGATATTTTAGGTTTGTTGTGATAAATTTCCCCTGAAAAAGAATTTCAAAGAGGCATTAAAAACAAAGCAATTCTCACCAGAAACTGTTCACAAAGGTGTCAGAGACATCTCGACCACCACTGTTGTAAGCACCGCCTGCTTCACCAACCCAAGGTGTTGCCCAAGGGCCAGAGTTTTTTATAGTGAGCCAAACATCTCTAAATGTCTGAGATATTTGGCTCAGGTGTGCTGGATTCAATATCTTGTTCACTAGATTGGGGTCGCTACCTGAGAGAACAATTTTAGACAAGTATTCCAGTTAATGGTCTTATGCGAATATGGAAGATAACTTGGGTTCAAGACCATTATTCAATTGGAAGGTAATTATTGCTGCAATCATAAAGTTTTGGGCTCAAATCCATCTTAGTAAATAATGTTCAACAAAAGAAAAAACAAGTAACATTCGAATGATGGAAAACCATAGTCCATTAGTGTAATCGTTGCCCAAGAAATGATAGTGTGCCAGTTGGATAGTGGGATCCAACATCAAGATCGTTTTTGTGGCCCCCCAATCTTCATCGCCATCCATCATTTCATTGAGCGGGGGTGATCCCAACAGACTATGGTTTTTCACAGCTCATCCATATACTTCCCCAAAAATGTATATGGAAGATAACCAAAACTCTTTTTTTTTCGGCAAAGTAAAAGCCAACATTTTCGCCTCCCTCACCTGGACCGAGATTATATATATGGTGAGTAATGACATTCAGGACTCCTGGACCTGACGTATGGAGAAGTTCTGTAAACCAATTAGGATAGAAGAAACCTCCTGGTGCTATTACTAATGGTCTAGACGATGAATTCTCATATAATTGATCGATTAGAGCTTTGAGGTTGATCAAGTCTTGTCCATACTGCTTTGCACTCACGCGCGCAGAAACACCAGGTCCACTCAACTCATTTCCTGTTCACCCAGCAAAAGATAGTCTAATGAACAAGAAAGCATATCCATAAGTGTATGATATTCAACCTCAAACAAAACTTTTAGGCTCAAAACGCCATACCAATGAGCTACAATGATCTCACATGCTACATAAATGCATACACACATGCATACACAGACGCACACATACATACATACACACCCACACTCACATACATACATATAGACATGCATGTGCGCATTCATACATGTGCGCATATGTAGTATAACATATAGACATAACATGCATTCATGTATACATTGAACTTGACATACATAAATATATAAGCTTGCATTTATGGGTGGATGTACTCATAGAGCGAACTTTCTAATAAGACTGCATCGATGCAGTCCCATGATTCATATATGATTGCTTAGTAATGAATGGTCCAGCATTTGAAGTCCCCACCATGCCATTTATCAGTTGCTAGCATAACAAGAACGCAAGCAATTGTGTTCCTATTGTTGGGATTATACCAACCATGCAAAGTTTAGGAAACTACACATACATATTGAATGGTACTAAAATATGGGTTAAGGTACTGGGGATTCTTGAGTGGCACCCATCTCACATAAGTACAACTTTGGAGTTCTTATAGGATCCATTATCCCGGTGCTTGTTAATCACACATGACAAACATAGATACATTCACACAGATATGTCTTTGTGAACATGCATAATAAATATGTACATACATGCAAAGAAACATGATTGAATATTGGTTTGAAGGGTTTTGAGGGCTGCTATGAGAATGTTAAGTACCGAATTCCCAAGAGTCGACTTGGTAGCCTTTGGCAATGGTGTATTTCATGAGATCACGAGCATTCGAGGAGTCCCAAGGGCCATACCACACATTCGTTGAACTATGATGCCTTCCATAGAGCGCATTCAGGCCAAAAGTTATAATTGCTCTGCAACCAGCCGACCAAATTGTTCATAATTGTTCCAAAATTCCATATTAAGGTTCTTTTGCCATTTCTTTTCATTGTATATTGATGGTTCTAAGTCAAATGTTGGATGAAGCCCCTTTGGGGTTCTTTTAGATCACTGAGGCTCATCTATTATTTGACAAGTAACCATTTTATAAGTATAGAGTAACAAATATTACTCTTTTAGGTAAATAATTCTCATGACCACAAGTTCCAAATAATTGTATCATTTCAAAGTTTTATTGTTTCTCAAAATAAATATTTATTATTTCTCCAAGAAGCTATATTCATTTCCAAATAATGAAATATAAGTTCATTTTTCACATAATGAAATACATACCCAGTCCTACTTAAGAATTCGTTGAGTTCATCCCATCTATCCATGGACAGACAACCACTAGAGAAACCAAACAAGCCATCTGACTTCCTTTCAAATGGGAGGCATGGAGATTTCAAATCTCCCACATCATACAGAACTTGATCTTGCAAAGACCCTCCAATCCTAATCCTCAGAGGATTAAAAGCTGAAATGGAATGATATAACCAATTAAAAATGTATGCTTTATGAAACACTATTAAGTAGGGTTTTGACATAAAGATCGGTTGTCTGGATCAGCCCTCCATGGCACCGATCAGGATAGGGCAACCAGATCGGCCAAAACGGCATCAAGCCGAAAATTTTAAAAATTTGGAAATAAAAAAAAAATTGCATAGATCGTCTTCCCCATCTATAACATGTTTGTTTGATGACTTGAATCATCAAACAAACATAAAAGAAAGGGAACAATGCAAATGGACCATAAGGCAGATTCCTCCCAATGAGGTATGGAATCCAATTAGGATCCACGATTTTTAAAACCCTGCATTAACAAATTACAATTTTTCCCAGAGAGAGAGAGAGTTTTATTGATTATCGTGAATATTATATAAGCCCATGTTCCTATTTTTCAGTAGAAGAGAAGGCAATATAGAATATATTTTCTAAAATATTCTTATATAAACCACCTCCATACTGATAAGACTGATGTAGCAACACTGATACTGATCAGGAAAACAGCAAAACGTAGTGTGAATTAAAAAAAAAAAAAAGATAAGAAAAATATGCGCATACCTTTGATGGCCTTGGCAAGAAGAGAATTATTCAGGTCCTGAAAAAAACTCAGAAATTTCAGCATGCAGTGATAAAGTAAAAGCAAAATTTGAATTATCAATAATAAAAAATACCCAACTGTGTATTTGGAGAAGAAAGTGTTTCAAAAAAAAGAATAAAGGCAAAATTTTCATTATCACATTTACCCCCATAAAAGTTTTTCATTATAATTTCTAGATGGATGTAATTCCAAAAATTTAGACCATTTTTGTTGTCAATACAATGGCAGTAACGAAAAAGAAACCAAGAAAAAAAAAGAATCTAAATAAATAACTATTTTAAGAAGAAAGTGAAAATGGAAATGGAAAATTTCAAAGATATAAACAGCACAGAGTCTCAAAAAACTTTACCAGATTCAGAACAGAGGCTTGTCCCCAAGGACATTGATCATAGTTACATTTAGTTTCCGGCCACCAATCCAGAGTTGCACAGATGAAATTATCGCCATTTTTAGCAATAACCGAATCTCCCTTAACTGTAATTCCCGTTTCTACAAGTTCATGCGCTAATCTTAGAGGAACAGAATTTACAAGAAAGAGAAAAAACCAGAGCCCCATTATAAATCTCAGCTTACCAACATTAACAAACATTGATAAAACTGGGAAAACCAGCTGAATTTCAGCTAAGAATATAGAAAACCCAGAACTCAGATATTGGGTCTGGAACCTCAAATGGTTTAAGTCTCAAAACAAAAACTTTGGCCCATAAGACTCGGACTTTTCCAGACTTCAGAGCCAATAACAGACTGGCTCCCACCAAGTGAGGTATGGATCTCCAAATCAATAGACCTCTCTCTCTCCTCTCTCCTCTCTCTCTCTAAAAGAGCAAGATTTGGGACACTACTCCTACAAGAAAAGATGAGAAAGACCCATGCAGCTCTCTCTCTCCGAAAAAGAGCCACCTTTGGGCCTCTTCCTCCACTACAGAAGAAGATGAGAAAGACCCATGTCAAAAAGACAACAGAGACAGCACACTTTGTCTCTTTCTGGAATCTCTGTTAATTTTGATTCAAACTTGGTTTTTGTCCCTTAATAGGTCTTTAACAGGAGATTAGTGAGGTATTGCTTAAACCAAATTCCATGACTTTTTTTGTTGTTGGGGTTGTTGGGTTTTGATAGAATCTAACAAACCCCATTGAATGAGAAACCAGAACCATTGCTTTGCTTTGCTTCTCAAACCAGGAAGCCATCAATGAGAAAAGAATAAAAGAAAAAAAAAAAAAAAGGATAAAGAATAGCCACCCCATATGAAGCCTGCACTATACAAGATAATAGAAAAAATTTATGAAAAAAATAAATAAATTATGAAGTCTGAACTGTACAAGATAAATAGAAAGGGAAAATTACAAAAAAAACCCTAACATACAACTGTTCTATCAACCTACCCCTCCCCAATATACTTTCCTCACGATCTTTTTTTTCAAAAGGTGCAATTGGGAAAATTACAAAAAAAACCCTAACATACAACTATTCTATCAACTTACCCCTCCCCAATATCACACCTTAAACTTTTATTAACATGTAATTTTATTATAAATTTTTTTTAGTATTATCTTAAAATCTATTTTCATACCTAATTAGAAAATTTTAAATTCCAAAAATGGTTAAAATCAAATAGATCTATAAATATATGAAAAGCTTGAAAATAGACGGTTTAGATAATGTGTTGCAAGGTGAACTATTTTCGAGACTCAATTTTTTTTTTTTTTTATATTCATACATCTCATTGTCGAGATCAGCGTTTTAAAAAACGCCGAGTCGACTCGGAAATC